GATCTGATTATGAGAAAGTGTACACCTCTTTTCGTTTGACACTAAAAAACAGAAACATATGATATAACAAACGTTTTCCTTGAATTACTTWAACATATAATTCAAAAAACAAAGATAACTATCAAAATGATATTTTTATTGTTGCAGTAGAAAGATATTATTTAAAGTATTGTAATCTTTTTTTTTTTCTCAAATTTATATGGTTAATTTCTATTTTATATGATAATCTCAAAATTTTCAAAATTTTTCTCAAATTTTTTGCCAATACCGATGAGATTTAATATGATTGTCTCTCAACATCACCATCTAGATCAATCGAAATTCGAGCACAAGAAATATTAATATAAAAGGTAAAAAWGTTTCATAAGTTTTACAAGTTCTTCAAAAGATCTTTGATGATTTTGAGTATGTCTCTTCTGGAAATCCAACAATCAACTAGATTGTTAATTCTAGTTACAAAGAGAAAATTTTACACGTAAGAATGTATTAAGAAATCTTGGAGATTATGAAATCGATTAGAACATATTTCAATATTGTTATTAGAAAATTTAGCATTTGTGTATATTGTCAAATAGATATATTTCTTATGAYTAAGTAATGATTTTGATTTCATRTAAAAYATTGATGTTCCCTTTCTAAACCAAACATCCGTTRGRACAATTTTCWTAACAAAATTGGCCTAAAAATGGACTTTTTTTTYCTTTTRCCGGCTAAAATCATCATTTATATCATCAATCAGTATCTTTGTTTACAAATGTTTGAAGAAAAGATGGACAACAAGAAAAGAGACTCCATGAGAGATGAGAAACTATAGAACTCTTCGCTAATCGATCTGCACATTCGTTCGCACTACGATTCCTATAGGAAAATTTGAGTAAGAAAAACTATTTTTTTGCCGGCTAAAAAATGGACACTATTGTTGTGTCAAAATTGAATGGATTTGATTATTTGAATGAGAAATGTGGGTCATTGGGTTAAATGAAAAATCCTCAAAAACGGTGGTTAGACAAAAGTCTCATATTTCATTTACGAGAAAAGATTTTCTATACACAACTTTGGAATGTTGAACAATTAAAGATTTGCTTAATATTTTCACGAGAAAAATATGGGAAACTTATCTAGAATTAAATCTTACTAATAAGCAAGTCAAGTTAATTGGAGGTTGATAGTAGAAAATAACGGGAAGAGTGAAGTTTGATCTTAAATTTCTAGATATATTCTAAGGAGCCTAATGGTCTTTTAGTCATTTTACCATGGGCACACAAAAACCCTATCTCCAACTCTTATATAATCTAGTTGCTTAGTATACTTGTTATAAAGTTTTCAAAATACCATGGCAAGGTAGAAAGGATTACATCTTCAAAGAAGTTTGAGGTAAACAAAAAAAACAAGAAGAAGAGGATACATATCAAAGAAAAAGGTTAATAATCTTCTCATTCTTTTAATGTGTTTTTATTGGGATGAATCCATATATAATGGTTTGAAACATGACTAATAAGAATTCTTTTAGATTTAATGGTTCATTGATGTTTGTTCTATATATATAAAAAATTAGGGTTGGTTAGTTATTTATGAGTTGGAATCTAGTATAGATGAATTTCTTTTGCAATGTTTATAATATGTTGTTTTTATGCTAATAATAAAGTGATGTTCGTTTCGTAGTCTTTGGTTTAGTGTCAAACTTCATCGTTTGTTAGTCGATGTAGCAAAACTAATAACATAATATGTACTAGTSGAGATGGTGTCACATTTWARAAAAAAACATAATATGCTGCCTATCTCTAGTTTCTATGAAAAACACACCAGCAACATCAGTACACATCGTTAGTCTTTTTCCCCATAAAAACTAATACCATTACCATAAGTATTGTTCCCATCGAGTTCTCCATTGGTCTCTTTCTCAGTCCTCCCTCTCCCCTCATCATAAAGATGTAACTCGCTCTTTCATGATAAGGGTTATGCTTGGCTTTCTCTATTATTTTTTTTGACATATTAAGATTCCAATTTTTTTGCATATTAAGAGTCCAATTTTTTTGAAAATATGTGATGTAAAAAATCCAAATAAATGAATTTATATTTTTAAACTAGTTAGTTTGGAAAGAAGGAGCCGAAGAACATTAAGAAATTTAATGGCATTGCTTTAATAAATTTTGTTACAAATTCCCATGATTATTCTAGGAGATGTATAGAGTTTTCAGTTTTGGAGGGAATCTAATGGTAGTGGTCAAACTATTAGTTAGAGATGTTTCTAATCGAATCATTCATTATTAACTATAATGTCGATGTGTCATGCGGAGTCGCAATTATTTTGGATTAACCATTTAATTTAAACGTCGTGCTTTTTCTCTTAATACAGTTGCAATGTTTTTTTCTTCATTTTTCTTCGGTAATATCACACAATTGACTGGTTTTTACTCGTACATCAATACTTTTGGGAAACTTGCGCGTTACTCGATTTTTTTTTTCTTTACTCGATTTTCTTTGGGTAAATGAAATTAAAGATAAATTCCAACGCATCACATTGAGGTTGCGACTTGCGAGTAAAAAAGAAAAATGTCGTCAAGTTCGAACGCATCTCATTCCATAGGTAATATATTGTCAAAATCCCAATCTCAGTTTATTTCTTCCTTCAGTGTTACGTTCTCCATTTGTGCGTAACACATGATACTGTACCATGGCAACTTATTCTTTGATTACTGCAGAAGAATCTAGGGATTTTGCAGCTATGAACTTTGATGGTAGAATTTTGTATAGCAAGACTGCTAGTGAAGTTGATAAGCGAACAATGCAGCATCTGCAAGTTCTTGAAACCAAGAGAGATGATTCTGGAAAAGCTATTGTTGGGTTTGATATTGAGTGGAGACCAAGTTTTAGAAAAGGTAATCATCATAGATAATTCAACATATTATTGGGACTTGCTTATATAGTATTCGATGTTTGTTACAATATTAATATGCATTATCCAGAGAGATCTAACTAAAGATTTTGTGGTCGTTTAGGTGTTCTCCCAAATAAGGTTGCAGTTATCCACATATGTGTAGACAATGATTATTGTGATGTTATGCACATTATTCATTCTGGTATCCCTCAGAGACTCAAACATCTTATCGAGGATTCAACACTCATAAAGGTTTGTTATTTTAATTCAAGTGATCAAAGTTTTTGTTGGCTTATGCTCAATTAACATCGTTCTGATAATACATTTTATAGGTAGGTATTGGAATTGAGGGCGACTCTGTGAAGCTTTTCCATGACCATGGAGTATCTATCCATCAAAGGTGTCGAGGATCTTTCAGGTTTAGCCAACCGAAAACTTGGAGATTTCAAACAATGGGGTCTTGCCTCGCTAACTAAGACACTAGTTCGCAAAGAGGTATCCACTTTTTTTATTTTCTTTTGATAAACTGTGAGAATTTCAAACTTTTGGAACATAATCTCTCCGGATACCCGAAATCAGCCTTTAAATATTTTGATTTAAGGAATAACCCTCTGTCCCATAGGGGGTTAGAAACTAGGGGCACCAAAGAACCTAACATGTATCCATTGTTCATCTCGTTTGGTTGATATTTTATCATTTTTCCGCTCTCCCTATACCAGTGGAACATTACTCATTTGTTTTGTTGCTTTGGAATCTTGGTTCTGTTTTCGATTTAAAAGCTGGACTGTTGCTTTGCAGCTCTTGAAGCCGAAAAGCATCAGGCTCGGAAACTGGAGGCCTATCCTCTATCATATATGCAGTTACAATACGCAGCAACCGATGCTTATGCTTCATGGCATCTTTACGAGGTCATAATACAAAACAAAACACACTTTTTACCTCAAAGCTTGTCTTTGGTTAGTAGAAGAAGCTAATGGAGAGCATTGTTACTTTCGCCTAGGTTCTAAAGGACCTTCCTGATGCCAACCATTCCTCATAACGAGAAGGACGAAGCCTAGTAACCCCAAGAGTTAGTAGTATTTGTAATGGTATGAAAGTACACTAGATGCAATTCTTATGGGATTTGCAAATGATATTTGAACATTTTATCTACATGCACTCCATTCGGCACTCATGGTCGGCTTAATTATCTCTGTGGTATATGGTTGTATACCACTTATGGTATAGGGTTCTGGTACGGTTAACCGTCAAATAATCAATTCATAACTTTAAAGATACGAAACTCATCTGCTAGTTCTTCAATGGAAGAATTTAAACTACTGAAACGATGAGTGAATGTACAAATCTTAGAGAGATCTAGAGAAAAACAGAGAAAAAGAGAAAATCAATCTCAACTGTGAAGATTAGTTTGAATACTATGTTTACTTTACTAAGAAGGAGATCAACGTAGCTGTTGGATGGAATCACGAAGCAGTGTCTTCGGTCAAACATCATAACCAAGGGTCAAAGGCAGAGACATGGTTTCATCCAGAAGGTTTTATCTTGAAAGAGTAAAGTAAAGACACTGCCTGAATCAGATGTTTTTTTAATGATAAAGTTAACCCTGCTTCAGGACCACTTCTCTCTCTCTGCAATTTATTGTAGAACCGTACACAGGATTGCAGAACCGTACACGGGACTGTTGGAGCTTGGAGGA